TACTACTACTACTACTGCTACTACTACTACTACTACTACTACTCTTGCTGCTACTACTACTGCTACTACGACTGCTACGACTACTAGTTCTACTACTACGACTACCACGATTACGACGACGACGACGGCGACGACGACTACTACTACTACCACTACTACTACTATCCTCGCTACTGATACTTTTATTTCTACTGCTAGTGCTACGACTACTGCTTCTACTGATGTTACTATCACGACGACGACGACTACTACTACTACTTCTAGAACTGCTGCTACGCTGACTAGTACTCCAACTTTGGCATACTTCCAGTGCTGTCATGGCTGCTGCTACTCTTGCGAATGCTCCTACTACACTTACTACGTGCTTGCACCTCCCAGCTTGCAGCGCACGAATCGCATCCCATTCATTGGACCACATATATTTTCATTTCTAAAACAAGAATAGACTACCCCTCCGGATTTAACTGGACCTTTTTTTCCGTATTCCAATTTACATATGAGTCTGCCCCATCGTCCACCCTAAGTGTGAATTCGTATCATCCCAGCCAAACCGGTATCACTCCCCCCCTCCATCCTCTGCAACAAATGCGATACGCGCACGCTCGTTTATCGACAATCATAAGTTTCCAAGAATTCCTTGCAAAAAAACCACGGAGTCATTTCGCGCGCGTCCATGTCAAAATCGCACCAAACACAGTGTGCTTGCAATCATTTCGGCATAAAAGCCTAAAGCGCCCAAGGGTTTTGCAACAAACATTTTGCAAATTTCCTGTCCGCGCGCCCATGCTAAAATCATACAACAACCATGGGATTCTTATGAATTCTGCCAAATCCAGCGATTTCGTGTCACCGCGTGGTGCACCCGCGATGCTCCTGTCATTCGCCGAGGGCGTGAATCCCTTGCACAAGTAACCACGCGGGCCACATGTGCGCACCGCCGCGCGCGCATGATCAGTCTGACGGATCTGTTGAATTTCCGCGCGTGCGGATTTCTTTTTCAACCTTGTCAGCATCACTGCGATCACCTGCCTCATCGACAGATGGACATCAGCATCGTCAACGTGCTTGCCATCATGGGCGCCGAAATCGTTCGTGCCGTCGCCCTCTTGAACATCGTCGTCGCTGGTGCCATCTTCGTCACTGCCGCAGAGGTTGCCGACGTCATCTTGTCATCCCGCACGTCCGGGTATCGTCGACATGTTCACCTTCATCTTTGACTCACGGTGACGTGCGTCGGCAGTGAGGGTATTGTCATCGATGTCGTCATCGGTGACGCCGCCGTCCCCCGCATGATGAGTTTTGCAAAGCAAGTTGCGGGTGGGAGGGTGGGATGTTTGCGCGAGCATTGGAGGCGGTCCAGCGCGGTGCAAGGTAGCCGAGTTCACCACATAGAATGCACCGCGCAGGGTACAACACGCATATTGCACCGTTTATTTTGCGCCCCATAGCTTGCACCACGTAGCCTGCGCCAAGCAGCTTGCACCACGAAACTTGCGCCGCACATATTGTACTGCATATGCTGCCTCCCGTAGGCTCCACCGTGTATTTCGCACTGCGTAGATTGCGCCGTCTGGTTTTTGTACCGACAGATAACACTCTGCCATGCCATGAAATGAGACCATGTGGGCCGCACGCGAGCGCATGCCGAAGACATTCAACTACCATCGCGCATCCGTCAACTTTGTCGAATCATACGTCGAAGCCCTCCAAAACCATTGTTTTTTCAGCATTTGTTCTTCCTCACCGTTGTTCTCAGCAACATCCATCTTTTCCACGCCGCATAGGTGTTCACACACATACGAAATCCAAGAATTTGTTTTACAGGGAAAGTGCTCCGTACATCCTGAATTTCTCTGCGCGCGCGGCTTTCCGAGTCATCCTCATCAACATCATCGCTATTGTCATCGCCGGCGTCACCAGCGTCTTCGTTATTAACATCGTCGCCATCATTGTCAGCAACATCGTCGTCGTCATCATTTCCAGTGTCGTCATCATCGTCATGGTTCATGTCGTCGCCTTCGTCATCATCGCCACTGCCATCATTGCCCTCGCGGTCGTCACCGGCGTCGTCGTCACCGTCAGTCGCCCGCTTGAGTCATGAATCTGCACGGACAGGGCCCGTGCGTCATTGTGCCTGTTGAGATGTCCGTAAGGTCTTCGCCTGCCCGTCGCTTTCATAATGGGACATCTCAGGGCTGTGCCAGGGCGTGTCGGCGCTGTTTTGAGAACTTTTGGGAACAACTTGCGAGGGCGATTGGCATTCAGCAAGCACCTCGCGATGTTGGGGTTGGTGTGAATGCTTTGTTTCCTCTTCACAGCGCGAATACGGTGGAATTTATGGGATATCGTGGTCTCGGCAGCACGAGTCGGGCGTAATTTTGACGGGACAGTGTCGTCGTGAGCGCGAATCTGGGGCAATTTGCTAAGGATTCCGAATCTGGTGTAATGTACAAAAGGAGCGCAAACCTGGTGTAGTCTACTACGGATTCTCGTTTCGGGAACGCGAAACAAACTTCATTTCCTAAGAAATCTGGCCGCCGCGGGGGCGCGATCTTGTTGCAATTTACGAGGAACATGGCCCCGGGAACGCGAACTACTATATTTTTGCGTCTCCCAGGGCGCCCCCGGGAATCCTGAGAACCCCAGGAGCTGGTCTGGTGGTAACCAGGGCAGTTCTGCCCTCCTCGCTCGGATCAGTTACAGCAGTTAACAGGAAGAAGCAACAAGTTAATGTATAGCACTGGAGAGTTGAAGCTGGAAACTGCGTTGGGACTGTGACTGAGACCGAGGAGTACCCGTTGCTGGAACCCGACCCTCGCAGTTTGGTGGCCCCACAAGCGGGCCGTCGGATTTGCGAGCAAGTTCCGAGGACTTTCACTCACGCCCACCTGCGTTTTTCGGCGGCGAGCGAGGGGGGGAAGTGAGAAGGGGCGGGCCTTCTCGGAAGTCCCGCGGCCTTCAGAGAACTTTTCTCAGCCTTCCCCGAAGACAGAAAACTTCTCAGAAGGCGCGAGGGCTTCTGCGAAATCCCGCCGCCTTCTGAGACGGTCTTCGCTTTCTCATTTCCCCCCTCGCTCGCCGGCAAGCTTTACCAACAAGTTGCAGGTGTGCGGGTGGGGGATGTCTGTACAAGCCTTGGGGGTGGTCACGCGCTGAGGCGGCCAGCCTCGACTGCTCCACACACTGCGCGCCACAGTTTGCACCAGATAGCCTGAACCACACAGCGTGCACCGCATCTAGAGCCCCCCATGCAATGCATCACATAGACTGCGCCCCATATTCTGCACCGAGCAGCTTGCACCACAAGTTCGGCACCACATGGACGGACCACGTAGATTGCCGCCTTGAGCTTGCACCAGTCTAGCTTGCAACAACTAGCTTGCACCACATGCTTTGCGCCACATGTGTGAACCAGATCGATTGCGCCCTGTGCCTTGCACCAATGTAGCCTGCGCCCCAGTGATGCAGCATGAGATGCGTCGCTCTCTCTCTCTCTCTCTCTCTCTCCCTGTCCCTGCCACCCTCAGAAAAGAGTCACGAGGCAGACCCAGCTGAAGACGAATATTGGTTGCACACTGCACAGGCAAGCTTGTTCTCGACTGCCGTTCAACGCTTGGATTTCAGATGCCTTTCGTGCGACCCCGAGGTGAAATCCCTGAGCGAGGCTTCTCTCAGCGGCGGCCGTCGAAAGCCATGAGCTCGTCGCCCTGAGCCTTCCTTTCGCCCTCCCCGACCCTTTGCTCGGCGACCTCCGCTGCCCTCCCGTCCGTCCCCTCCCCCTTCTCCTGCGGCGGGCCTCGCGAGCTGCAGCGTACCTTGCCCGTGTTCGATGTCTGCCCAGGTCGAGAGGAGCGAGAGCCGTTATATCTCGCCACGATCGCTTCTGCCTCCCTCGTCGTCCTCGTCTTCGTCCTCCTCGCTGTCTTCTTGTGGAGGGTGAGTGTGGTGAGGGAGGAGGGAGGCCTCCCCCCTGGGCCTTCCATCTTGCTCTCCCGCGTGCCCCGTGCCGTTCCGGCACACCTGGTGCTGCCTCGGACCTCCCGCCGGCCTCGTGCCGCTCCCAGCGAATGTGCATCGGCGGCGTCCCAACATACTAAGACTATGTGTGCGTCGCCCCCCAGGGGCGATGCGCGCACCGAGACATTTTCTCGGAGACGCGTCGTGGCGGGCGCTTTCTGGCCTTACCGCTCGGGAAACGATGTATTGCATGATGTTTGTACTGTGTGTTCGGGTCGGACGGACGCCTCCGAGGAGGACACACAGTACCAGTACGTCCTTGTGCGTCCCAGTGCAGCTCCCCCCCGCCGAGGACTTCTACCCGTGCACCGTCCCGGCGGCCATCGAGGACCGGCTCGACGAAGCCGTGGATGCGCTGGCGGGGCGGTTTTCGCACGCAGGGGGCAAGGGCAGAGGGCCGAGGGACAGACCAGCACGCACGGTGGCCAGGGCCAGGGACCGGTCCAGCACGGGGGGGCATATAGATGCTCGTTTTTGGGGCCTTCCAGGGTCCACCAAGCGGATCTGTTCGACCCCAGTTCGACCCCCGTTCGCTTCAAGTTCGACTCAGGTTCGACTCAGGTTCGACTCCGGGTCGACTCAGTGTCGACTCAAATCGACAGACGTTCGACGCGGCCTCGACGCAAGAGTGGAGCGGGTGTCTCCAGGCAGGTCCCCAGGATGAGCATCCAAGGGGATGAAAGCATCACACGGAGGTGCCTCCCTCGGAGGGCGGGATGGTGCCGCCGAGATCCCGCACGCCGTGCCCGATGGGGGCGCCTGGGCGCCGCCCGCGGCGATCCGCAGGGAATGCGCGGGGGCAGCTTTCGAATGCCCGGGGGCCGGGATCTCCGTCGGGCAGAGCGCCGGGCCGTGAACGTCCAGGGAGGCGTCCGCGAGGGGCCCGGCGCGGGTCACCAGGAGAGCGCCAGGCGGTGCTCTCTGCCCAGCCCCTGGCTCGCGCAGCCCGCTACGCGCGTGAGTGGCTCTTCGTCGGCGTCTGCGTCGGCGTCCGCGTCGGCGTCGGCGGCGTCGGCGTCGGCATCGTCGTCGTCGTCGTCGTCGTCGGCGTCGGCGTCGGCGTCGGCGTCGTCGTCGGCGTCGGCGTCGGCGTCGGTCGGCGGTGGCGGCGTCTGCGTCGGCGTCGGCGTCGTCGTCGGCGTGTGCGTCGGCGTCGGCGTCGGCGTGTGCGTCGGCGTCGGCGTGACCTGAGGTGCGGGCACGCGCGCAGGGGGGTACTGGGAGAGGGGAAGGCTTCTTGGAAGGAGGCTGCTCCTCAGAAGGCGCGGGCCTCATCTATAGATGTACGGCCGGCGCCTTCTGAGAAGCGTGTAAGAAGCCTTCACCCCTGCTCCTACCCCTCGGTGCGCGCCACCAATATGGTGCGGGCACACTGGGGTCTCAAGATGACTGATCGCGATGCGATAGCAGCGTGTTGCGCGCTCGAATTTGGTCTCCCCGCGGCCTCCCAAAGTCGTGCACCAGAGGTCACTTTTGCTAAGGGTCACTCTTGCGTGTAGCCGAGCGCAGTCACCCTGGAGCAGCTCGTTGCTCTAAGCCTCCCAGGCGAGGTCGGAGTAGAGGGGGTCAGAGGATCGCGCCGCATCGCCGATGCATCGCCGATGCGGCTCGATGTGGAACCCGATCTTCTCCGCGCCGACCTCGCCGATGTATCGCCGATGCATTGGCGAGACATCGTCGATGCATCGACGAGGCGCTGCGATCCTCCGACCCCATCTGCTCCGACTCCATCCGGGAGGCCTCCAGCTGCAGAAATCGAAGGCCTCCGCCCTCAGCGGGGCGGGCCGAGATCTTGGGTGGATGTCGGCCCCCGGCAGGCCAGGAGGCCACGTCCGCAGAGGTGCTTTGGGTCCAACCCAGAGCCCCGACGTCGTGCATCTTTCGCATCGCCGACCCCCAGAGGTCTGGACCCTCTTCCCCCGGACCCGTTCTTCATCCCGAGCCGTTTTTGGCGGTCCCAGGGCCGGGCAAGGGCCCCCAGAGGCCGAAGATTCAGAACATCTTTCCGTCGTGTTTTTTTCGCAACTCCCCCTTCCCCCGCGCGGCCGCCCTCGTCTTCTTCCCCCCCTCTTGCGCGCCGGCCAATTAGCCTTGCCCCGAATAGCCACATGTTGGAGCGGACTGCCTCTGCCTCGCCGCCGACGAGACAAGTTTTTTCACAACGCGAGGGGGTCTGGGAAGGTGGCCCTGCCTGGGGGCCTGGCGGGGCTCGCCAGCTTCCGCCGCTCCCCCCAGAGGGGCTGCGCGGGTGGTGGGCGCGGCACGGGCAAGGGGCGGGGAGGAACTCGGAGAGATGGAGAACGGACCCCGCCGGTGTACCCTCTGCTGATGGTGACGAGGGGAGAGAGGATTGTATAGAAAGGGGGGGGGCAAGGTTGGATAGTGAACTGTGGACGGAGGAGGAGGAGGAGGAAAAGGAGCAGGAGGAGGAGGAACAATAATAATAGTCGTATCAACAATAGTACTCGTAACAACAGCAACAACACCACCACCAACAACAACAACAGCAACAACAACAGCAACAACAACACATACCATTACGAATAAGAACAGTGAGGGACATCGTAGGAATAACACTTAATGATACAAAGACGAATGAACATATTATTGCTAATATTGAGAGTCAGAGTAATACCAACAATTATAATACGAGTACGAATTCGTACAGGTAATAACAAAACAATAGTAATACGATCAGTTGTAACTATATTATTAATGCTCGTGGTCATACAAATTAGAAATCTATTAATGCTACGTACAAGTACTGCGACTCATACAAATCGTCGTAATACTAATGCTACAACAGATGTCATGACTAAAATTAAGAGGAAGAGGAGGAGGAGAAGCAGGAGGAGGAGAAGCAGGAGGAGGAGGAGGAGGAGGAGGAGATGGAGGAGGTGGGTCGATGATGGGGTGAAATGCAGGATCATGGAGGACAGTGGAGGATGAAGCGAGGACGGTATACGATAGAGGGAGCAGGATCGAATAGGAATGAGGATGGCTGATGGAGGTTGAAGGAGGCAGGGAGGAAGGGACCCACCCCCAGTGCTGCGTGGGTACCTTGGGGCAGGCCCAGAGCGAAAGCGCGGGCGATTACGGCACCTTCCTCGCGGTGGAGGAACTCGTCGCGACACTCGCCGGGGAGGCGCGGCCAGCATTCCTCTCCCTGCTCCCGGCGCAGCGGACTGAAGCATCCATCCAGGTTTTCCTTCGTCTCGGGTCTCGGCCTCCAGTGGCTCACCTGCGGGCCCTGGGGCCCGCCGAGGACGCGGACCTGCGTCGGAAAGCGGGTCCTGGAGATAGGGGCGGGAGCTCTGGGGCCCGCGTTTCGGGAACATCTATACGTCGGATGTACAGGTTCCCCACAGTCACATCGACACCTATCCACTTCATGTCCTCGTCCTCTTCCATGTTCACATTCACGTTCGCGTCCTCCTTGCCCTCGTCTTCGTCCTTGCGCACGTTTCTTACTCCTCCATCCCT